GGACAACACCATGTCCGGCCGCCTTTGTCTCCCCAGTGGTGATGTTTACACACCGCACCAGGTACTCATTGGAGGCGGAGTCGAGCTAGGAAAGGCCCAGGACCGGTTCAGGTAATCGTCACTGGCGTTGACCGTGAGCGGGAATCGAATTTGTGTGGTCAGGTTCATAGCGCAGCCCCGCTAAGCGCTACACCACTGCTCCCTACAAGTCTCCACACACACACAGACATTCACACATTCCGCAAACTTGAAAACCTCTTTATTATTGCAATCCAACAGAACTTCACAAACAGCTGTAAACGACAATGGTAAATAAATATACCTTGCTCATGGAACGAAAGGTGGGTGCAATTGAAAGCTGTGCAGTAAACCCCCCATCTTCTATTAATGTAATATGCTGTATCTTATAATTGAGCAGCTTTGAATGGTCCATAGTGAACCTGCTGTTTAATGTACTTGCCTATTAATAAGTTACCTTGAGGTTGAATTATTTACGTAGTTTTCGAGATTCGACCATCTCCTCGCTTAATTAGCTTGTCAGCTGGATTCCAAGATAGTCTTCACGTAAATTGCGTTTGTTGGATATTTAATTCAACAATGTTTATTTGGCCACAGTGACAAGAAAATTACATTTTGTAAAATTTATTGATATTTGCATTCCTGTACCTGTAATATATTTGTGTTTTTACTTCCAATAATGTACACAACACTCGGCCACGTATAGATATTTGAATGTCTTTATTAAAAGACGTGGGTTTTTTTAATTAAATTGGTGGTTATTATTACACGTCTTAAATTCTCAAGTGAGATTTTATTCACGATTCAGGTTGCATGTGTTGCATACGATCGAGACTCGGCACTGCGTGACGTTGCTTTTGGCCCACAGAGAGCACAGAGATTTGTCTGACGCAGTACAAACGCACGAGCCGTTACTTTGTGGACAAATCTACTTTGCACATTGCCAAGATGACATTTTGGGCAAGATTACATTATCCATCGCAAGCGTCGCCGATTTTCTTCAACAAAAATCTATTCCCGAAGAAATATTTTGCACACTAGTTTAATGATGCGATGAGGTTCAGTGTACATTATTTAATTGGGGGCGAGAGCTCATTTAAGAGGAACTACAACTGCTTTTTAAGGCTTGCCTCGACATCTTTGCATCCTTTCGTTGCTCGTGGCAGTTCTACATTTAGTAATGTTTTCGTTTCGCCGTGGGAAATTCTCAGTAGGTTCACGTCCGCTTGCGGGAATTCACTTGGGCGGCAGCTGTTGGGTTTACGCCGTCTTCTGTGCGGGAAGAGGCTTCGTGGCGAACACCTACCCATTGAATAGTTGTAATGATCACAGCTGTCTATCATCATCATTATTCTAATAATTATGCTTGTTTAGCCAGGCAAGAACTTAAGACTCTTTCATAAGGGCCACATGAAGTGTTTTGCAGTAGAGGGGTGATGCTGCTGCATGCAATCTCAATCAAGTAATTAGCAGGTGCATTTTTCAGCATCGGGATATTTTGCTAATGGCACTTACATCGTGTGCTTGTTGTTACTATCGAATCCGTACCTCAGTAGGTAAAGTCAGCCGCCGTCACTACAGCATGCTTCCCACTTGCTCCCTGCAGATGGCAGAGGGTTATGTGAGTTTACCAACGTGTGACTCGATAGACTGGTGCACGGGCTCACGGTACAATTTTCCATTCGTAGCAAACACAAAGATAGAGAAGAGACATGCAGGGTTGTAAGCAGTCGTAATTGCATGTCCAGGAGTGCTGAATACACCGCGTTCTAATGCGAGTACAGATGGCCCAATAAATACATATTCACACGCTGTGCTTCCCAAATATAAGCTCTCTGTGGATGCTGAATCATAACCACAAAGGAAGAAGGGAGTACAAATAGACGCAAGACTTCTCACGATTCGTTTTTTTCATTGTTGTCGTTTTTGGGTTTTTCGTCGTTATTCCTGTTATTGCTCGTGCACGCACGGTGGCAGTGGACCCGCACGCCTGTACCGTCCTGATGAGTCCTAGCAAGGGGGAAAACTGGTACACGGATTTCTTATCATCCTGACATGCAAAGCATGCAGTGTTGAGTCCGTCAATTTAAATCTCCCCCGCATGAGCACTGCCGGCCGCAGATTTTGTGCGAAACTCAGGAGGGTACAATTCTACCGAAAAATAAAAGGTTACGTTTACCGTGTCATGGCCATATGAGTTCCTAGGTTATTTTTGCTGTAAATCCATCAGCTCGGGGTGGGAGTGGGGGGGAAGGGCCTCACTTTGCGAATTCGTCGTGTGGCGGTAGTGTCCGTACGGTTTTGCAACGCCGCCGTAATGCTGCAGAGAGCACGCAACGCGCCCGAGCAGGAGGCAATTACCGCGCACGTGCAGCGCGTCAGTCATCGCACAACGCACATTATCATTTAAATGAATTAAGGCGGCGGCCGTGTCTGCCTCGGACGTTTTGTAATTGTCGCTCGGCGCTAAATCCGCACGTGTGTGCTGCGAACGATTCCCCTGCCCTCTGTTCCGCCGCGGAAATGCGGAGGCAGCGGCGGCGAGCGCTTTATCCGCTCGCGGGGTTCGCCTTTGCCGCGTGACCGTCGTGTGCTTCATTAACTGCTAATGCCTTCGCCTTGGCTGGCGTTGACCCCTTCGGAGACCCGCTGGCTCCAGGGAGGCTCGCTGCCAAACGCTGATAAAACCTTCGCCTGTTATTCAATTGCATCCAAAAGGATCTCCCTATCACAGGCTGCCTGCAGGTGTGTGTGTGCGTGCGCTCGTGTGAGTGTGCGCACGCGTGTGTGTGTGAGTGCGCGTGTGTGTGCGCGCGCACGCGTGTGTGTGTGTGCGTCCGCACGCGTGTGTCTGCGTCCGCACGCGTGTGTATGCGTCTGCACACGTGTGTCTGTGTGCGCACGCGTGTGTACGCATGTGGAGTGGTCGCGTTGTGGTTATTATGATGCTGTACCGTAAATCCGGCAGGCCAAGTTTGACTCCCAAACACGGTTAATATGGAGTGGCGAATATCTGAGCCGGTGCTGGCACTCCTCTAAGTCAACTCCGCCTTAAGTGCCTGGTGTGGCAGCCTTTGTCTCCCCAGCACTGGGGAGACAAAGGCTGCCCGCTGTGGGGTACTGTCCACACCGCTTCCTTGTGTGCTGTGCCTGCCTTCGTAAGTATTCACTCACAACATTTTCCCCAACAGTCCATGGATGGAGGGTGGATCTGGGTGTGTGTTTACATTCAAGACAAAGATCCCCTGTAAACCCTAAACAGACTGTCGGGGCCAGTGCTGTTAGCGAGCACTTATGAAGGCCGGTACGGCACATGAGGGGGTGGATGGCCAACACCACGCCCAACCGCCTTTGTCTCCCCAGTGGCAATGCTTACACACTGCACCAGGTACTCATTTGAGGCCGAGTCGACCTACATACACACACACACGCGTATGTGTGATTGAGACCATTTACAACTTTTCAAATGTATTATTTATCTCTGTACACTCCTAAAGTGTCCCCCGATATCTCTTGCGTTGCTATCTCCTCCCCTGACCAGCAGGATCACAGGATTAGTGCCACGGCTTGCGGCCGCCTGAAATAGGACCACGCATTTATTTAGACCATAGCGTGGGATTAAAGAAGTGAAACCGGGCATTGAGAACGATGGACGGATGGGGAACCCGCGGGGGGTGGGGGGGGGGAACAGACCCCACCGAGGACCATGAGTTGAGGATTTAAGGGTTATTCCAGCTTAGTTTAGGATGAAGGATTTGTATTGGAGGGTGTCTGATTCCTTCTTTTATATATGCCTCGCCGTTTGAATCGTGTTTTTATGAGTGGAAGTCATAATACGTTTACACCAGTTTTTTTTCTCGATGTGCACTTTCAATGTAATTATGCCTGCTATATACATTTATTTGAAGTCAACTCAAGTCAAAGTCTCCCCACTTTGAATGAGCAATGGAGCTGCGCTCGTATTCATCGGCCACCTCCCGCCCGGGGCATGTGATGAACCACCATTTGACTTTCTACAAAGCGGCATACATTTTAACAACCTTAGGAGGATAATTGGTTGAATGAACAACCCAACCAGGAGTTCAACTCGCATCCGTCTGATCGTGAGTCCAGTGATTTCAGCACTTGGGATTTTTTTTATTTTCTACTAAAATCATTGAAATCCATGCAATGTCAAAAAGCAGGTTATTTCTTTTACTGACATTCAGCGCGTTTGATTTGTCTGCGCGAGTTGTACCTTGGCTTTAAAGTAAAATAAACGCGTGTTATTTCACTATCCAACCAAGTCATTACAAACTCCAGGGGATAAGAGGTTTTGCGATGGAAGGAACGCGCACTCGCGTGTCTAGAGACGAGGTTTGTTATTTTTATTTGCTCGCGTTCTTGTTTGGGGCCTTTGGCACACTCGGCGCTCAAGTGCGGCTCCCTCTCCGCCGCCGCTCGCTTGCCGCACGCGTAACGAAGCGTCGCGTTCGGCACGCAGCCTTGGGAAGAACATTTCGAAGGCGTCGCAGTTCGACCGGCGGAAAAAAGGGAACCGCTTCTCAGCTCGGACGCGTCACTGTTGTAGTGCGTGTACGGTGTACATAGGTGGCTTTTCGAGGTTGCTACGTGTTTTTTTTTACTGTTTTAATATGCTTACGAGAGCAGGTTTAGCGAGATTTAGAATTCCCTGCATGCTCCTCTTTGCGACCGAGCGACAGCATCGTTGGATATCCCCATGAAGCTGAAGGTATTTTTTTTACAACAAATAGAGCACAGCTTCATCAAAACAAGGAAGACCTCAATAACAAAAAAACGCGAGCCGCTCTTAATTGTAAACTTGAGCGCAAACTGCCCATCGCACGGCATCAAAGTGCCCGGGTGTCGCTTAATGGCAAGCGAAGCTGCCAAGGGTTTCTATCGGGGGCGGCGGTGGGGGGTCATTCTGGCTGCCACTGGGCCAGATGAGTAAGTGTTGACAGTTGAAACGAGGCACTTACCACGTTACACGGGGTGGGAGCGGGTTAGGGGCAGGCCGGTGCCGGCCAGCGCGCGCCTCTCTTACTCCAGCATGGCTCGCCTCGGACGATCCAGCGCAGCGCACTTTCTCAGGGCGTTCATCGGCCCCGTCCGACTTCGAGCGCACACATCGGCCCGCGCTTGGGTTTTTTGTTTTCCCGCAGAAGCCAAGAGTTGTGGGTTTCCCGCCGGCAAGGCTCGCGGCGGCGGTGGGGGGTGGTCGCCGCGTCGTCTCGAAACGTCGGACGTCCGCTACCGCAATCGGGCGTTCATCGCCGGCTCTTGAGATGCAGGCGTCCGCCCTCTGGGCCGCTCAGCTCGTTCAGCTCAGACCCTCTGTCTCGTTGTTTGGCTTGAAGATTCTCCTCCCCGCCAACTCCCGCGGTGGGTGGGCGGGCGGACGGACAGATGCGTGGGCGGGCAGGCGGACGGACGGGTAGGAAAGTAGTGGACTGCTGCGATGGTAGCAGGCAGCAGCGTGGTGGCGGTGTGTGAATGTGCGTGCGCAAAAACGCTCGTGCCTGCGACGGCGGCGGGTGGCTTGTGGCTGCGGCGGCGTTGGAGCGTGCGATAAATTGAGGGTGGGCAGTCCACGCCCTTCTCTCCTCCTGGGATGTGCAGGGGCGGGAGAGCGCGGGACGTGATTGACATTCTCTGGCTACACCCCTTTTGTACATTAAAAGTATCGGCAAATGCTCTGGGCACTCTTGCAATGTATATACGGATGGCTTTGTGCTTTGATGTGAATGTGTTTTGTATGGCTGCACTGTAAGTATTTTTTTTTCATGAGCTTACAATCCCAATGACACAGATTTTTAAAATCCCTGCCATTTGATAACTTAACCGACCTGAATGTCTCGGCATGACCACGAGCACCTGCTAATGTGCAGTGTACGCAATCATTGCTAAGATAGAGAGGCATTTGGGTGTGTTTTCTGGCTATGCCACTTTTGTGTACACGGATTTTTTATTTATTAGATACTCACTTGCAGAACTCGTCCAAGTAGTCTGATATAGTTATTTTTCACTTGGTAAAGATATCGGTGTGTGTGTGTGTTTACAGATATTATTAAGTACATATCTGCACTCATTGTTTGGTGTACACAGCTACCCAATGAGTTCTGTGAGGAGTGACCCAAGATTGCCTTCTGCTGCGATGGGTGAAAGGCAATGTGCTCCTATTTGTCAGAGGTACAGCTAAAATCCAATAAAGTTATTGACCGCTACATTGTAAACTTAATAACGTCACAAAGTTACCTATAGTTTCCTGGTCTCCCGTCATACATGTGTAACAAATCACAGCGCTGCCTTGCTTTATAAAACAATAATAATTATGACGGCAATCATTTTCCCAGGACAGCCCAACTATATCTCAAAACGGTTGTTTTCAGGAGGGCCCTACATTATTGGGATGTTTGGGTGTTTTTGACCCCCCCCCCTGCATAAGAGAGGAGTAACACTCAACACTGCCATCTCCTGGCCACAGCTCACAGTCTCTTGCCCACAACAACGTGGCCGTGCCTGACGTTCACCCATCCAAGAACCTGCAGGCGGTTCCCCGCTCTCACGAAGTCACAGTGCGTTCCTGGTAACCTCGTCCGTCGGATCGTCCTAAATGGGACCCCTATTTTTCCCATAGGCAGTCGAAACAGCAGGTACGTCATCAATAAGAGTGTTTTTTTGGGTTAGATCGCGTAAATATTTACGCGATCTAACCCTGGTTTGTACAAGTTTACGACGGTACAATTTACGGTGATCCACATTTAACCACTTTCATATAACGCCACTCCGTGGATCGTTTTACGACACAGCTTCCCGACACGACCGCCAACACATTTGGACCAAGTCCGTCTGGTTTCCCGAAGTGACTGGGCGTGGAGCTTTTGTTTTTCTCGAGCGTTTCTTGTGGATGTTTAGCTTCTTAAACCGCTGTTAGATACGGCCGATAAAAGGCCCATAACACATTGGCAATTGGCGTTCCTGCTTAACACGTAGACTTTCGCGACCAATATTATCCATAAGAGTGCTTTTTTTTGGTTAGACGGACTTGGTCCAAATGTGTTGGCGGTCGTGTCGGAAGATGCGTCGTAAATCGATCCACGGTGTGGCGTTATATAAAAGTCGTAAATGTGGGTCATCGTAAATTGTACCGTCGTAAACCTGTACAAACCTGGGTGAACCCTACTTGGCTTCCATGAGCTTCCATTAGACGTCAGTATACGAGGCAGCACACGCTACAGTAATTTTACTGGAGCAGTCACACCTGATGACACGGAGGCTTGTGTTGCTTCCGAAACGTCGTGATTTCATTTAGTTATTTTCAATTATTTGTATTTTTACCTACGTGACTTTACCGAAAAAACCTAAGAGTAGGAATCTTGCAGTCACGAAAGCTTCAAATCTAGAGTCCGTATACGAGTTATAATACCTGTGGGTTTGTGTTAAGCATCATATATTTTTTTTAAATAAAAGATAAAACTGCCCTGCATGTGAATAAATCTTCACGCAATGCAAATCCCGGCAATTGAAGTGAGATCTACCCAAACGTATTACTCGACTCTCATGAGATGTGGGCTGCGTATGCAAGGGTTATGTTTGCAAACGCGTGCATTTATATTTTTCGTGGCAAAAGTCTTCAATTTAGACGACACAGTGGGGCGTTGACGTATGCGAAAATATTTGAGGGTGCATTCGACGTAAAGAAAATAACAGTGTGAATCCCGCAGATTCAATTCATGTAAAATTATACCCCAAGAGCAGCTGACATCCCCCACGTCCCGTGTAATGACATGCCATTTGAAAAACACAGCTTGCAGGACAAATGCATTTTTACGTTTACCAATGCCTCTGCCGTGTGTGGTGCAACAGCGCCGTCTCGGTCATTTCAAATTCATCCACGAATTCTGTACCTACGTGTCATAATAACTGGGGTATGTAGCAATGCACAGATTCGTTGAGTCAAAGCCATGCTCGTGCTCCACTCTTATCAAACCGTGCACGTAAGTATCGATTGTAAATTTGTGTGCGTCTGTGTGTCATGGATTCACGTGACCCCTGGTGCCACTAGAGGGCCGCCAAACAACAGTGGCGTGAGAAAGCCGTTTCAGGGGCTGCGCCTTTACAGACTGTGCAGGTACATGGCATGATTGTATAACGACGCATCAGCTTCAGCACGGAACCTCTGACTCATGGTAAACATAGCCTTGAGCAATCTTTAAATACAGCGGTGTAATGCGTAATTGCTATTTTTAAATTAAATGCCGTTGTGTAGAGTTGTACAATACATTCGCGAGGAAAGGCGTGGGGTTTACGAAGGCATTTTCGGTTGCAGTTTTTTTTCCCCCTCCTTAAAGTAGTGTGGATCTCATTAACTTTTTAATCCGAATTGAAATAATCACTCCCAACTGTGAGTTGACTCGATGATGTGTGTGTATTTTTTGTACTTTGGGGGGAGCGGTAACTCTTAGATCGCGTGTGCTAAACCACGGCATGTATGCGTTTTGTTATTTTTTTGTAATTGAACAACTAAGAGCGTCCATAATAACTTGGAAAATGGTAACGCTTCACTTTTGGGTTGAATAATTTCCTGAAAAATTTAAAGTTAAGTTTGTTAAACCAACTTGCTTAGAAAAAATAAGTGCAATTTTTATTCAAATAATTTTTTTACTCTTTATAGGGTCAAATTTTTGGTGCTATAAATTTCCACACGATGATGAGCCCACTTCATTGGACTATCATTTGTGGCCAGGTTGCTTCTGAAAAAGAGCTAAATACCTCTGTGGGCCTTAGCTGGTGGTAAAAAACTAATTAATGGCTTTAAAGAATAATAACTAACATTGTCAACATCAATTGTGTTTAAACCACTGCTGGATGAAGGCCCTCCCATAGACATCTGCATCTCCCACAGTGCTGCATTGTAGCAATCCACCCAGCGCCCGCACATGAACTCGTTCCATCGCAAGGCAGTAAACAACAGCAAGACAGTCGTTAGAGCATTCTCAGGAAGAACGTAATCAACCAGGTAGGGTGTTGACTGTTATGTTATCCGACTCTCTGTTGTATTACATTACATTTCTAAGTATACTAGATTTGTGTTTCTATTTCATTATACCTGATGATGATTGCTTGTGTTGCAATCGAAACGTCGTATGCTCGTATTTAATTTATTATTTTATCTTTATACGTGACTTTACCGAAAGAACCAAAGAGTAATTCCTACAGTCACGAAAGCTCCAAATTAAGTTTTTAATAGTCGTTAGAGACCAAATCCCGCCTTGTTTTTCAGTTGTGTCCCGTAAAACGGTGAAACCTTCGATTGTTTGACCAACTTTTTATCGGCGGCTTTTGCTGCGTTGCGAAGCGCGTGGATTTCACGAAGGCATTCCACGTGCGGACTCTTCATCGGCAGTGTCGCGCACCTTGCCAACCCGGAGACACAATTGATGGAAAACGAATTGGTGCACGGCTCTCGGTTGTCGTCGGTGAGGCGCGAAGGAAAGCGGAGATCTCCGCACTTATTCAACGGTGGCAATCTTCTTCTCCATCACGGTGAGAGAGTTGACAGTAATTATGGAGGAGTGGACGATTTTTTTTTTGGGTCACCACAAATCAAGACGTGTGACTTTTTTTTGGGGGGGGGGTGGTGGGGCGGGGTGGTGGCGGTTTTAAGATTTCACGGGATAGAGTTGCCCAGCTCGCACTCGGGCGCTCTAAACAACCGTAGGTTAAACATAATTTAAATGTACAGGGTGCTTCAAAAAAATGTTAACACTTCCGAGAATTTGCAACAATACCACAAGAAATGTGCCTCCGGGCTCTGGAGACCACCTGGAGAAGATTCTAGGCACGTGTTGACGAAGATGGCGAACAAGTGGATACTCTTTGACTCTTTGAAGGTATTAACACACATTTGTTATCGTGTTACAGTCTTATTATCCCTTCTTTTTCCATTAAAAACGATAGTCCCATAACATTTTGAAGCACACCCTGTATTACACCGACTACAGTCCACGGCGATCGTTGATGCCGACCAACAATGTCGGAGGACCGCTGCAAACCCACTCCTCCCGAGATCTACCGATCGTTGTCCTCCTTGACGTCACCGTGCGCTCTCGGGCTCACAACCCGGGGTGACCACCGCGTTGGGGGGGGGGGGGGGGGGGCGGAGGGGGGCGTTGTCCGCACGGCACGCAAGCTCTGGGATTCCCTGACCTGCCCTTGGAGGGTCAGGAACTTGCAGTCATTGGAGACTCGAGTCCCCGCTGAAAACCTCTCGCCGCCTGTTGGCGTTGCGCGGGGCTTTCAAGATGCGCTTTTGTGGCCGTGCCGGAATGGCGCTCTTCCTTCCGATATAGGAAGCAGCAGGAGCTTTGTACTTTTAAATCATCTCCATTGATAACGAATTTCTTTAGAACCGCTTTGTGTGTTTAGTTTGTCCTTCCACCGTGCCTCCGATGAGCACGGTTGGCTTCGTACGGTGTGACATAAATTCTAGATTTGAAGCTTTCGTGACTGCAAGGATTAATATTC